GATTAAATATGGATCTACTAGCTAGCTGACTTAGTAGTAACTGAAAATATGATGGGGGATGGAAGTTAGCGCTAGAGAGAAAATTGGTTATGTTGTCTGATCAACTAATGATCACAAGCTCCAAGAAAGCTAAAGAGAAAATGGCTGCAGGATGGATGGTGTTGTGAGATCATTGATACTAGTGTGTCTGACATATATAGGCGATGGATGTGTTAAGAAGGATCATCGGGTGTAAGCGCGTTGACCAGGTGACAGAGTAGGTCGTCAAAAATACATGAAAATGACGTCATGCACGTTAGCTCCTGAAACTGATATTATTATATATACTTGGCTCCATAGCTTTAATAGAAAACTAACAATGAGGAAGATGAGATAGGTAGCCGTCGGTAGACCGGGCCTGGGGATAAAACGATTAGTAACGAAATTGTCAGCAGACCATGTCTAAACAATTAGTTAGGAAATCATCAGTAGCTATCAGTAGACCTTGTCCTCGATCGATCCGGATGCCCACACGAGCATACTAAACAAAAATTAATCCAACATATTCTCTAGTTAAACATTCCAAACGTGTTGGTACGCACATATACTACATCGGTACGGCAAATAATTATATAATTAATTAAGTTTCTTCTAAAAATAATAATTAAGATGTATGTCGCTGTCAAAATTCACACAAATTCACTATTAATAATATGTTGTGTTGACCAAATTCAGAAGTTGCATAGTCTTCATAGTAAGGGCGCCTCACAGTTGTCATATAGCTAAAATCATATTTGGCTAAGAGGATTTATAGTTGGTCCCAGTTTTTGGTAGTGAAAGGTAATTCCACTTGTAATTAGTTGCCATATATGTACTATACATTTGAGATAAACCACGACACTTATTATGGATTGGAGAGAGAATTTTTTATCACAACCATTTCTCCTGGAGATGCTCTTGTTTCTTTTTTTAGTAGAATTCTCCTGTTCAAGGGGTAATCTCTGCGGTCCTGAGTGGGGAACTATACCTTGGGCACATTGGCTTCAACCAGGTACTTACGTCCAAACACTACCACAAAGTACACCTTAAATATAGTGGAAAACTCTCATAAGAAAACAATTTGAAGCAGGCTGTCCGCCCTGGAGAGGTTATAACATTTGTGAGGCAAATGAAAATTCAAAGCTAAATGGAAAAAAATATTTATACTAAATATTATCATTTTTGTTACTCATCTCATCTCTTAGCCGTTTTCTCTAATACGATAACGTAAAAATAGATGCCCTTTATAACTGCTAAGATAAAATCATAAATCTGCCATCTTAAAAGAAAAACGACGAAGGAAAGCTACGCTCGCCAAAGAGAAAAGCTACAACGGGACACACAATGCTGCATCTGACCATGTTTTTTTTTGTTGGAATCAGTCGTGAGGACACTGGAACCAGCCGTGGTGCATCCCGGGAACCCGACAGCAATAGATGCTGCATCCGGTCATTTTTTGATAGAATTGACATGTGTGGATGCTGAAATGGGGCAGGAGAAAAGCTGCAAAACCTTAGTGACCGTGCAACCATGGTTCCCGCAAGCTACGATGGCGCCGACCGTGCAACCATGCTTCTAGCAGCTTGGCGAGGTGCTGGGAACCATCGGCAAAAATTTTGCAGTCATCAGAGTAGCTACGACGGTGGTGACCACAAGCTGCACATTTTTGCTGGAACTGATGGGCCCTAGGCGAAGTCCTTTTCATGGAACCGGCTCGCGCATTTGCTGGAACTAGAGACTGTAGATGTTGGAATCAGCGACGGTGACCACCGGCTTGCTGGCGAGATGTTACAACCAGCGCATGCAAATGCTGGAGCAAGAGATTTTTATCTCGAACTAGTGCGAGTGTCAATTGCGAGCATCAACGTGGTAGAAGCCATAGATACTGCATCTTGCCGGCGTGACATGCTGCTAGGGACCGAGGCGACAGGAGGTGCGATGCTGCCTGAGAGGTGGGGGGGGGGGACTTGCAAGCTGCGCGAGCGGAAGGGTGTTTGGGCGAGGCTGCGCAAGGTGTGGGGAGTAAGCAACTGAGCAGCCAAATCAGACGGCCTACGCAGCTTGCATCTGACGGCTAGTGCACGGTTGACCGAAATTTGGGCCGGCCGACCAGCACCAAGCGCTGCCCTTTATTTATTGCATGATTATATACACTTGATTATAGTTTGATTTTGTAAAAAGATAAGTTAAATCCAATTATAATGGAAGAAATTACATTTAACAAAAAAACTGATTTATAATACACAAATAAACATGCACGTCGTGTCAAGAAGAAAAAAGCACCACAATCGTCGGTCACTAAAAGAACAACATGAGACCAGTCGCGACAACAGCCAGACCAACCGCGCCACCGCAGACTGATCAATGCCAGCCGTCGTGGCTGAGCTTAATACAGTCTCAGACCGGCACCGGAGCCGCTTCCCCGTCCCTCGGCACCGTTGTACTGGCCGCACTGCCTTCGACTTCACATTGACTTGAACCTTCATACCGGCACCGCAATGCCCTGGGACGCCGCAGATGAAGTACCGCGTCCCAATGACTGCAAGTGGGACGACATCGTTGCCGGTCAAAAATGTCGCGATGGGGCTGGAGCTGTTGCAGGCGTCGTACCCAGCCTTTCTCACCTCCACCACATTGTGCACGGTAGTGGAGTACTGAAATTGGAGCTCATCGCCGATGGTAAACCTAGTACTCGAAACCCACAGGGTGTAGTTGGTTTGCAGGTTCCATGATCCGGCAGGCACGCCCACCGTGTGACTAGCGCCGATCACCATCCTGAGCATGGCCACGGCCACGGTGATCAGGATAAGAACTATAGCCCCCATGGATTAAATGTCGATCAACTAGCTAGCTAACTGAAAAGATCGGAGCTAGAAGTTAGCACTAGAGAGAAATTTAATAGGATCCAAGGAAGTTGCAGAGAGAAATGGCTACACGATGGAATGTGTTGTAAGATCGTTGATGCCACTATGTCAAAATATATACAGTTTTGCTAGAACTCATCTAGATGAGATTTAATTTGGTCTCATTCACCTTTTATAGCCATTGGATGTGGTGCTATAAGATGCGTGTGTGCTGACGTGGGTTGTATCCGTTCTTGCTTTTCAGGTGAATGAGACCAAATTACGTCTCATCTAGATGAGTTCTAGGTACTCCCAAATATATAGGCGATGGATTGGTTCAAGCTACGATTATCAGGTGTAAGCGCGTTGACCAGGTGAGGTATGGTAGGTTGACCAGGTGAGGAATGGTAGGTGTAAGACGCATGAATATGAGTAATAGTGCTACCAGATGAATTTAAGTACATGTTGGTGCATGCATGCTTGGTTCGCCGACTATACTATGATAATCTAGTAATGGCGACGATGGAATTCGTAGCCGAGAGTAGACTGGGTCCGGCGGCAAACCCTCAGGCCGCTATCGATTCGGTGCCCGATCGTGCTAAACATTAATTATTTGAACATAATCTTTGATTAAAGTTATAAACATATTAGTGCGCGCGTGCATATTCATACCACACGACAATTGCTTTATTAAGATGTATGTCACTGTAAAAATTGGAAAATAAAATGTAATAATCTTTTTTCAAGAGTATACAAATTACGTACCATACCTTTTTTATACAGAAGGAAGGATAACAGATACAAGAAGGGCAGTAATACTTGTTGGTCGACTGAATTTGGTCAAATCGGTCACCATGCGCGCCATTGTAATAGGCCATCATGGACAGTTGATTTCACGAATTGTTCTCTCTCTCGAAACAAACTTTCGCCCCCTTTATAGATAAAGGCATAAACAACCAAACCGATATGGAATGACCAGATACAAGGCATTGGGGAGAACCTTAAAAGTTGATCTAAAGAAAATCGGTAATACTAGCCAAGAATGCTAAAAACACACTAAGTGCACCTAAGCGCCTCAAGCTAGCAGCCGAGAAGAAGCACATGGAACCCAGCACCGTGCAAGAGGAAGACCCACCCTCACCGACGACGCCCCAGGAGGGTAACGACACAAAGCGTCGCCACTGCCGCATCAGCCAAAGGTAATAAAGGTTTCACCCCGAGAGTTGGACGGCAAGGAGAGGTCCAAGCCGACACCCCAAGAGAAATACAACACCCATAGGCTTTGTCGCCGCCGGCGCCGGAGCGCAAAGCTTTCGCTCGACCATAGCTCCCACCACATCGACGAAACTCTAACAGGGACCCCACCACGATGGAATGGGAGCACAGATCCAGCTTAGGGCAAAGCTTCCATCGAAGTCGTCTGCTACGCCAGGATCACCCATCACCGTGCACCTCGCAACCCATAGCGTCAAGGTACACCGTCAACACCCGCCACCACGTCTCTCGACGGAGAGCTAAGCCACGTAGCACGTGTCGGGGTTAAATCCGACGGATCTCGGGTAAGAGGTCCCGAGTTGATGATTTTAGCTTGATGGTAACAGGATGAACAAGGGCTTGGCGAGTTGAACTCTTGTAATTTCTGTTTCTTAGCAAGCAGATTTTGGGACACAAGATGAAAACAAAATATGGCAATGCTTTCAAAGCTTGGCGAGCTGAAGTCTTGTAATTTCTGCTTCTTTTTTTTGGCTCAGTTTGTTAGGGTTCATTTTCTTCATTTATCTTCTTTTTATGCCCATCTCTAACCATTGTGTACATACACTTCCCAATAATATAAAATGTTGCAGTGGCTGTTTAGCCCACTGTTTCGCCTTAAAAATCATGTTACTTATCTAGACGAAATTAGTTCTGCCTGAATTTCTGTTGTATATAATGGATGGATGTAATGTCATTTTACTCAACACATCTTTGATAAATTTATTTCATGGTTACTCGCTTGGTCATTATTTGAGTTTTTGCAAGAAGATATGTTGAAGCCAATTATAATGAATGCAGTTACATTTAACAAAAAAATAAATTTAATACACAAAGGGACCATACTACGACCGAACAAGGAAAAAAGGACCACAATCATCGTTCACTCTAAAATAACAACGTAAGACCAGCCGCAACAACTATTAGACCGAACCGGGCCACTGTAGATTGTTCAATGCTAGCCGCCGCAGCTGAGCTTAATACTTTCTCAGACTGGCACCAACGCCGGTTCCCTATCCGTCGGCACCGTTGTACTGTCCGCACTTCTTTCGACTTGACGTTGACCTCGACCTTCATGCCGGCGTCGCAGTGCCCAGAGACGCCGCAGATGAAATACCGGGTCCCAACATTGGCAAGCGGAACAACATCATTACCGGTCGGGAAAGTCGCTATGGGGCTGGAGCCATTGCAGGAGTCATATCCCGTCTTGCTCACCTCCACCACGCTGTGAACGGCGGCAGAGTACTGGAACTTGAGCTCATCGCCGGTGGTTAACTTGATTCTCGAAACCCACTGGGAGTAGTTGGTCTGAAGGTCCCATGACCCATCCGGCGCATCCACGGTGCGGCTGGCACCGAGCGCCGTCCCAAGCATGGTCAAGGCCACGGTGATCAGAATAAGAGCTTTGGTTCCCATGGATTAAATATGGATCTACTAGCTAGCTGACTTAGTAGTAACTGAAAATATGATGGAGAATGGAAGCTAGCTCAATATAGAGAAAAACTCTCATAAGAGAACAATTTGAAGCAGGCTCACAAGGTCCGCCCTGGAGAGGTTATAACATTTGCGAGGTAAATGACAATTCAAAGCTAAATAGGAAAAATATTTATACTAAATATTATCCTTTTTGTAACTCAAGCCCTTTTCTCTAATACGATAACGTAAAAGTAAATGCCCCTTATAGCTGCGAAGATAAAATCATAAATCTGCCATCTTAAAAGAAAAACAATGGAGGAAAGCTACGCTCGCCAAAGAGAAAAGCTACAAGGGGACACCGCGATGCTGCATCCGGCCATAGTTTTTAATGGAACCAGTCGGTGAGTACACTGGAACCAGCTGTGGTGCTTCCCGGGAACCCGACGGCAATAGATGCTGCATTCGGTCATCTTTTTTGCTAGAATTGACATGTGTGAATGCTGAAATGGGGCAGGAGAAAAGCTGCAAAACCTCAGTGACCGCGCAACCATGGTTTCCGCAAGCTACGATGGCGCCGACCGTGCAACCATGCTTCTAGCAGCTTGGCGAGGTGCTGGGACCCATCGACAATTTTTTTGCAAGCAGTCATCAGAGTAGCTACAACGGTGGTGACCGCAAGCTGCGCATTTTTGCTGGAACCGATGGGCCCTAGGCGAAGTCCTTTTCATGGAACCGGCTCGCGCATTTGCTGGAACCAGAGACTATAGATGTTGGAATCAGCGACGGTGAGCACCGGCTTGCCGGCGAGATGTTACAACCAGCGCATGCAAATGCTGGAGCAAGAGATTTTTTGCTCTAACTAGTGCGAGGGTCAATTGCGAGCATCAACGTGGTAGAAGCCATTGATACTGCATCTTGCCGACGTGGCATGGTGCTAGGGACCGAGGCGACAGGAGGTGCGATGCTGCCCGAGAGGTGGGGGGGGGCACTTGCAAGCTGCACGAGTGGAAAGGTGTTTGGGCGAGGATGCGCAAGGTGTGGGGAGTAAGTAGCTGAGCAGCCAAATCAGACGGCCTACGCAGCTTGCATCTGACGGCTAGTGCGCGATCGACCGAAATTTGGGCCGGCCGACCAGCACCAAGCACTGCCCTTTATTTATTGCATGATTATATACACTTGATTATAGTTTGGTTTTGCAATAAGATAAGTTAAATCCAATTATAATGCAAGAAATTACATTTAGCAAAAGAACTGATTTATAATACACAAATAAACATGCACAACGCATCAAGAAGAAAAAAGCACCACAATCGTCGGTCACTAAAAGAACAACATGAGACCAGTCGCGACAACAGCCAGACCAAGCCGCGCCACCGCAGACTGATCAATGCCAGCCGTCGTGGCTGAGCTTAATACAGTCTCAAACCGGCACCGGAGCCGCTTCCCCGTCCCTCGGCACCGTTGTACTGTCCGCACTGCCTTCAACCTCACGTTGACTTGAACCTTCATACCGGCACCACAATGCCCTGGGACCCCGCAGATGAAGTACCGCGTCCCAATGGCTGCAAGTGGGACGACATCGTTGCCGGTCAAGAACGTCGCAATGGGGCTGGAGCTGTTGCAGGCGTCGTACCCAGCCTTTCTCACCTCCACAACATTGTGCACGGTGGTGGAGTACTGAAACTGGAGCTCATCGCCGATGATGAACCTAGTTCTCGAAGCCCACAAGGTGTAGTTGGTCTGTTGGTCCCATGATCCGGCCGGCGCGCCCACCGTGTGACTGGCGCCGAGTACCATCCTGAGCATGGCCACGGCCACGGTGACCAGGATAAGAACTTTAGCCCCCATGGATTAAACTAGCTAGCTAACTGAAAAGATCGGAGCTAGAAGCTAGCACTAGAGAGAATTTTGATAGGATCCAAAGAAGTTGCAGAGAGAAATGGCTGCACGATGGAATGTGCTGTAAGATCGTTGATGCCACTATGTCGAAATATATAGGCCATGGACTGGTTCGAGCTAGGATCATCAGGTGTAAGCGCGTTCATCAGGTGAGGTATGGTAGGTCTAAGATGCATGAATATGAGTAATAGTACTCCCAGATGAATTTAGAAACATGTTGGTGCGTGCATGCTTGGCTCGCCTATTATACTATGATAATCTAATAATGATGACGATGGGATCCGTAGCCGAGAGTAGACTGGGTCTGGCGGCAAACCCTCTGGCTGCTATCGATCTGGTGCCCTAGCGTGTTAAACATTAATTATTTGAACATAATCTTTGATTGAAGTTATGGACGTATTGGTGCGCGTGTGCATATTCCTACCGCACGATAATTGATTTATTAAGATGTATGTCACTGTAAAAATTGGAAAATATAGAACGTAATCATCTTTTCTCAAGAGTACACAAATTACGTACCATAGCTTTATTATATACTCCCTCCGTTCCAAATTAGTTGACTTGAATTTGTCTAAATACAGAAGTATCTATACTTGTTTAGTGTCTAAATACATCCGTGTCTAGGTAAATATGGATCAAGTAATTTGGAATGGAGGGAGTAGAAGGCAGGATAACACTTACAAAAAGGGAAGTAATAGGCGTTGGTCGACTAAATTTGATCAAGATCGGTCACCATGCGTGCCATTGTAATGGGCCATCAAGGACAGTTGGTTTCACGAATCGTTCTCTCTCTCTCTCAAAAAGCTTTCGCCCCCTTTATAGGTAAAGGCATAAACAACCAAACCGGTACAAAATGACCCGATAAAAGGCATTGAGGGGAACCTCATAAGCTGATCTAAAGAAAACCGAGAACACTAAAAACACACTAAGTGCAACTAAACGCCTCGAGCTAGCAGCCCAGAAGAAGCACATGAAACCCACCACCGTGCAAGAGGAAAACCGACCCCCACCAGCGACGCCCCCAGGTGAGTAATGACACAAAGCATCGCCGCCGAAGCTAAGAAAGGTTTCACCCTAAGAGTTGGACGGCAAGGAGATGTCCAAGGCGACGCTTCAAGAGGAATACAACACCCGCAGGCCTTGTCGCTGTTGGCGCCGGAGCGCAAACCTTTCGGTCGACCACAACTCCCAACACTTCGAGGAAACTCTAACGGGGACCCCACCACGACGGAATGGGAGTACCAGACCCAGATCAGCGCAAAGCTTCCATTGAAGTCATCTGCTACACCAGCATCACCCATGACCGTGCACCTAGCCACCCACAGGGCCAGGGTACACCGTCAACACCGACCACCATGTCGCTCCCCGAAGAGCTAAGCCACGTAGCCCGTGTCAGGGTTAAATACGGCGGATCTCGGGTAAGGGGTCCCGAGCTGATGATTTTAGCTTCATGGTAACAGGTTGAACAAGGGCTTGGCGAGCCGAACTCTAGTAATTTCTGTTTCTTGGCGAGCAGATTTTGGGACACAAGATGAAAACGAAATATGGCAACGCTTTCAAAGCTTGGTGAGCTGAAGTCTTGTAATTTATGTTTCTTCTTTTTTTTGGCTCAGTTTGTTAGGGTTTGTTTTCTTCATTTATCTTCTTCTTAGGGTCATCTCAAACTAATGTGTACATACATTTCCCAATAATATAAAATGTTGCAGTGGGTGTTCAGCCCACCGTTTCGCCTTAAAAATCATGTTACTTATCTAGACAAATTTAGCTCTGCCTAAATTTCTGTTGTATATACACTACTAGAAAAAGCCCTATTAGTGGCGCACCTGTTTTCGTTAGTAATGGCGCACTACAGGTGCGCCACTATTAACACGCCACTAGTAACAGATAGTAATGGCGCACCTCTGGTGCGCCATTAGTAATCCAGATAGTAATGGCGCACCTCTGGTGCGCCACTACTAACCCTTAGGTGCTCCACTGGTATTCCCTCTAGGTGCGCCACTAATAGCCTTATAGGTGCCCCACTAGTAATAAAGGAATGTGCGCCACTAGTAAGGACTGAAATGCGCCACTAGTAATGTATTTGGAAAACAAAAAAAATCCAAATTTACAGAAAACAACATATAAGGAAAATAATTTAAAAACAAAAAATGAAATAGAATCATAATTTTTATTATAGTAAGAATATTACAATGTCTTTACAAGTATCCAATAAAAGAAAAATTAGAAGGAAATAAAAGAAAATTCTAAAACTAATCTTCTAGTAATCTTTTCTTCTTTTTCTTTACTTTATCCCTGCAAAGAATGGTAGAAATATGTGAGAATGAACATTGCAGAGAAGTGAAATTGAGCAATTATTTCCATCCGACATCAAAGATCTAAGATACCTTGAATCATAGACATGGGTCATTTCATGAAGCCAAGAGTCTATGCCATTCAGGATGCATAGTTCCCTGTCAGAAGAACTTAATTATTCAGTAAACACAGTCCTAAGCTTTTTACATGAGACAAAACATAAGGTACATGCTTGACCTAAGCTACGGCCACACTAATCCTGCTAACAACACACATGCAACTAGCTAATCAAGATTACTACTAACATAATTCACCGAAAAGAGTAACAGGTGATGCATCAAAAGGAATCTGGCGAGATCCGATCACATTAGACGAGCCTAGGTGTGTGGATCCAAAACAAAGTGTGCAGATCTTTGATAAATGAAAGTTAAGGTTAATAATCTAAACTTTAATATTCTGAACTTTGTTACAGTTTAGCCCAAGGAGACATGCTCTATTCCTAAGAGATTAACTATTTAGTGACATAAATGTTGTGATTGATGTGACGATGAAGGAGTTTAAGTTCTGTACCTCATGCATTGCGCCACCGTCCAGTGCGGCTCGCTGTGCCGTAGGGTCCTCATCTCGACAGTGTGTGCGTTTTGAAATGAGAATGTGATCTATTCTAGAACCATAACTGAATTCTTCAGCTCTAACGGTTTGATTAAAGCAAGTATAAGCTCCCTCCCTGCACAAAACAAATGAAGGAAGCATACGGTACATCGTTAGCATGTGATTATCATGAAGTACACTATAGTTGTAATAATCCTATATAACTATAAAGTCAATCCCCACTGAACATTTTTCCTGCCCTCACAGCCTACCACATCAGCAAATTACTAACTTCTTTTAGTTGGTCAAATATGGAAACCAGCACTGATACGTGCAAAGTTCTGAGGACATTGTTTAACCAATAGTAAAATGTGTACTTACATTGTTGGTTCTGAGGACATGGTGTCGGTGGGAACGACACCTATTGGATCACAAGAATCCCTACTGTGGTTAGTGGGGCGCGGGGTCGTGAGAAGAGCGGATCAAACAGATAGCACCTGGTTCATTTATCCAGGTTCTGGCCGCGAGGATGTGTAAAACCCTACTCCTGCTTTGGTGGATTGTATATCTGTGTTCTTGAGCTAGCTATGGGGCGTGAGGAGCTCTAAAAAGCCGAATCCTTCCTCTGGTCGTCTCGGGCCTCCTTTTATAGAAAAAAGGGGTTGCCACAGTGGCACACATAAGGTGTAAAGGGTACAGTGCTGCGAGGTTATCCATCGCATCACATGACAAGGCGCATTTAATGCGTCTTGCTTAGGTGTCCTTGCTTTATCGGGGACGGGGGAGAAACCTGTCTCGTCCATCACCGCTCCTTCTTGTGTTGACACGCGCCTTGGCCAGCGACGCCTGCGGTGCCATGTAGGTAGGCAGGCAGCTGAGGTGGCCCAGTGGTGGGTCTTCACGAAGATCTGCATGCCGCCACGCGGGTGCCTGCCTAGCTGGTTGGGTCGGCAGCTGCATGCATGCGGTGGTGGAGGTTTAGTCGGCGTGGGCCTGATGGTGGCCCTGCAGGTGTCCTCGGCAAGGGCCTTGCCGGGGCCCCGGCAAGGGTCTTGCCGAGGCGCCTGCTGTCATCCCCGGCAAGGCGCTTGCCGGGGGCCTTGTGGTCTTCCTCGGCTGGGATCCCGCCAAGGGTTGTCGTCTCCTTAGTGCGTATCTGATCTTGAATGTCTTCACAAATATCTGCATGCCGTCACGGGGATGTCTCCCGAATCCTTGCCCTTTGGGGGGAGTGGACTCAAGGGTGATTTGCTCCGTAGGCGCGGGACGAGTCGCCGCGGCAAGGGTCTTGGCGGGGCTGCTAGAATTGTCTCCCGGCAAGGATCTTGCCGGGGGAGTCCGCTTTGTCCCCTTTGCTCTTCATGGTCTTGGCCTTGGCGTCGTTCTAGTTCTCTTGAGCTTCGGTCTTACCCTGGCTCACCTCCCTTGCCTTGCTTGGTGTGGTGGTATCCGCGGCTCAGACTGCCCATGCACAGTTATAGGGGTACAAAAAGTGTACCCCTCTTTTTGTACACCGACAGGAGCCCCCGGCCTAGGCCACACATAAGCGCAATGCGTTGTTGGGCTAGGCCCAAAAACGGTGCGCGGGTAGGTGGGGCGGTTTTTACCGCGGTAAGATTCTTCGCGCGCTGCGCTTCCCATGATTCCCGTGTGTGGCGCGGCGTGGGGAGGCGCGTGTGACGTGGGCGGCATGCATGGGGTTAGTTCCCGCAGGCATGCGTCACATCGTAGTAAAGGGGCGGTTCGCGCCTTTCCCATAAACGGTGGGAGGCGTGGAGGCGTGGCCCATTTACTGAATGTGGCTGAGGCGCGGTCTTCAAGGCGTCCACTCCCAAGCAGGGGCGCTGCGGGCAGGGAAGTCGGGGCTGCCGTCGCTGACACCACACGAGCAAGGCCCGGTGGCGCACACCAGCGACGGCGGGAGGGGGCTAAGGGCATCTCCAGTCGTTGGCCCCCCAGGGGGCGTCTAAAAGCGCCGCCTGGGGGTGAGCCGGCGCAAAAAATGGCCCTGGGGGCGAGTCGGTCCCCAGCCGTCGGCCCCCAGCGCCGTCCCTAGGCGCGTATTA